TGAACCTGGGAGGAGGAACTTGCAGTGAACCGAGATCACACCACTGCATTCCAGCCTGGGCAACAGAGTGAGACTCTGTCTCAGAAAAAAATAAATCAATAAATAAATTTTAAAAAGCAGAAATGGAGAAATCTACATGCTTTTTTTTCTTTAATTTTTTTTTTTTTTTGAGTAGTTCTGGAACAGACAAGTTCTTCCATGTACCTTTTCCTAAATACAAAAGCAACGTATGTTCATAAATTCAAATAACAGAAAGGATTTAGAAAGTGAAAAGTAAAAAACTCCTGTCTCTTCCAAGTTTGTTTCTTTTAGACATCTTATTCTGTATATCCTATTAATAAAGGTAGTTTCATATTGTTCATTTTTTTTTTAAACAAGTTACTGTCTTGTGGACATCCTTTTAACGTTGATAAATCCAGATTTACCTCATTCTGCATTGTATGGATATGCCAGCTTTCCACGGATAGGCATTTAAATTGTTTCCAGTTTTTCATCATCACAAAGAGTGCTGCAGTGACCATTCTTACACGTACACCTTTGCACATTTGTGCCAGCAACTTTTCCTACAGAAATGATAGGAAAGATAGACACATTGGAAGTGTTCATCAGTATTACTAATTTGCTTTCCTGAAAAGTTCTATATTGTAAGCTGTTTTCAGTATTTCACGATATCTGATGGAAATTGGGCAGCATCAACTATAGCCGTAGTGGTTAACTGAAACATCAGCTTTCTTAGTGTTTGACCATAGTTATATGAACTTGGTTATTTCATGCCTGTCAACCGGCAGGAGATAATCAGCAGTTCTGACTTCTGATGAATAAAGATAAAATATCACTAATGAAACATGCTTTATGGGCAGCATATTTCTAAATATTAGGCCTCTTCAGAGCCAATAAAAGAAGACAACCTGGGTACTGAAAAGGCTGGGAACCATTGCTCTCCCAGACCATCCTTCAGGATTAGAATGGAGAGCAAGTTGTGTTTACCATGAAGGTACCTTTGTCAAGTGCTGACATGAGGCACAGGAGCTGGCAGCTGGGACTGAATGGGCAGTCATGAGATCAGGAGACTGGTCAGAGCCCTGACCTTGACTGTCCATTGTGGGACCATGGGCAAAGCTCTTAATTTCTCCAGGCTTGAGTTTTTCCATTTACATGAGGGAAGTTATCAAGTCCTCATTTCTTTTTTTTTGTCCATCTTTTTTAAAAAAATTAATTAATTTATTTTGAGACTGGGTTATAGACTGGCTAATTTTTGTATTTTTAGTAGAGACAGGGTTTCACCATGTTGCCAAGGCTGGTCTCAGACTCCTGGGTTCAGGCGATCCACCCACCTTGACCTCCCAAAGTGTTGATTACAGGCGTGAGCCACTGCGCCCGCTCACCCTCAAGTCTTCATTTTATCTAAGCAAGTTTATATGTGGGGAAAAGAGAGATCAGACTGTTATGTGTCTCTTTCTTTTCTCAGTCTCTCCTCCCATCTGTGGAGAAATGCCCACCTGATGAGAAACGCCCATAGGTGTGGAGGGGCAGGCCACCCCTTCATTATGAAAGGAAAATGACTTTAAGTTTGAGAAAAGGAGTTAAACCTGGCTTAAAGAAGGTAGAAGAGAATTTCAGGATGAAACAGTTTTCCAATGTATATCAAGAGATGGGTTACATTGTCTCTGAAATTAATCAGGTGGTAGTGGGAGGTGGTTTTGTGTTTTTAACAGGCAGGACAGAATGTTCCTACTATTGCCGGTGTGGTAATTTGAGATAGGAAGTGTGGTTTAGTTTTGTACTCCAGAAAATGAGAAGCCCTGGTTGTAGCAGGTGTGTATAAATGTGTTCTGGACAGAGGCGAGAGGTGCGTTGCTGGAGGGCTCTTGGGAGGTCCCAGGTGGATACGGTTTTTTTTTTGTTGTTGTTCTTAGCATTCTTTGTCCGCATGGGTAAACAGAGAGCAGCTGGTTCCCTGGTTGCCTTCAGAGCAGCTCCCAAGTATCAGTTCATTTTAAGCTTTGGGAGGGTAATAGGACCTTTGGGGGATGTGCCTAATGGGCTGGAAGGTACGGACAAAGCAGGCCTAGAAGTGCAGGTAATGAGCCAAATCATGGGAGATTGAGAGCAGGTGCTGAGCTGAGCTGGTGAAAGTGAAGACTCAGGGGATTTTACTACTTAAACCTGAGACAGCTGATCCCATGCAGAGGCTATCTGCCTGTTAGGGGCCAGTGATTAGGGATTAATGCCAGCTGAGGCTTCAGGGTACAGTTTGCCTGCCTTTGAGCTCCCTATTTGAACAGAGATGAAAATCACTTACGTTGCTCCTTTACCTCCCTTGGAGGGGCTCCTGCTGAGACTCAGGAATTTTCCGTGTGTACAGTGGGTAAAGGACTAAAAGCCAAGCCCTCTGACCCCAGGTCTGGGCCTCCACTTCTCCCTCCTCACCACTAGGGTCACTCTGAGTACTTCTTGCCAAACGCCCTTAGGAAACTCTTTTCCTTCCGAGGTTGGTTCTCTACCGGGGCCCCTCCTCCCACTTCTCCACTGAGATCTTTCTACATTTATTTCTCAAAAAATGAAAGTTGTGTTTCCCATCCAGTACCTCCATTTTACAGAACTGTTTCTTAATCTTACAAGGTCCCTTAGTACCAGGCAGAGGGGCAGCCGCAACTTGCAGGGCACCTTCTGGGAAGCAGTGGTGGGAAGTGGGAGGTGAAGGTGTTTCTTCCTTTTCCCCCCATCCTGTGCAGGGCCTTCCCTCATTGGAGCCGGCAGAGCCTGAGCTGTCCCAGATGACCTCAGTGTGGTTTTTGGCCCCGGGACAGTGGCCGGCAGCAGTGCAGGTCCTTCTCCCACCTCTCCTCTGCAGCAAGATGGGCCAGGAGGAGCCAGCCCCTGTGAGCAAAGTGATGAGGAACCTCTTTTTATGGAGAAAAGCTGCAAGGAAGCACAAGATCTGTGTTCTAGTGCCAGCTATACCCTTGATTCATTATGTGTCCCTAGACAAGTCACCTGTCCCCTGAACATCTAGTTTGCCCTGCCTGTCCAGTGAGACTTATCGCTGCAAATGAGCATTCCTGAAGTAAGTTAATTTACTAAGGAAGGGTAGACTGAGGACTGTTAATGCTTCTCAATTGTCTTGCTTTTACATGGGCCGTGGTGGCAGATTGGCCCTGATGCCCTATGTGGGCTGGCTCTACCCTGAAGCTTCCTGAGGTCTATTCAGAATGTGTATCAAGTAGGCTTTGCCAACTCAATCTCACTATGGTTTAGAAATTCTGGCTTAAAGAGGAGCTCATGGCCTGAGTGAAAAGGCCAAAACAGCTTGAGGCAAGGCTTTTTGCAGTGGGCAAGCTAATTCTTACCCATGGTTCTGAAGGGATGAGTGGGATCCTGGAGACAGAAACTCTGTTGGACCTATTATAGGAGCCAGCTCAGTTCTGCACTGGTAGAATCTGTAAGCATTAGACCTTCCTTCACAGCTATATCATTTTTATATTTCTAGGCATTCTTACGTTAAGGATGATGTCATTATTACTTTTCTTTCTTTCTTTTGTTGAGACGAAATCTTGCTCTGTTGCCCAGGCTGGAGTGCAGTGACGTGATCATGGCTCACTGCA